TCACCATTTCGTGTTAGGAAAAGCGCGGATTAATAGCTATATGAGGCTTTATTAGGATATCAAAATAAGGTAATACAAAGTTAGCTATACTTCTGACTTAGAGATCCGATACATTGTTTATTTCGATTTAGTAGATTTGGATACTGAAAATAAAGCTTGAATATCGTTTTTATATAAGCTCTACCTGTAGTATTGATAGCTACTCGATCTGTGCAATAGTAAAGTAGTTGATTTTAATAGCAAAATATAAGTTTATTTTTCGACAATCTCATTACTAAAATGTAAGGGCATTCTGGGCAGTGTGGTGTAGTATTAGCTTTTAGAAACTAAGTCCTGCAGTGTCTGGATACTATTTCCTCTAGGAGCGTTGATAAGACCTAAGCAAGGTCAAAATGACAGTCCAGGCTAGCCTGAATAAGAGTATTTGTTGTAAAACAAGACCACGTGAAATTCAATGGCATTCAACCATCATTCTTTTAGCACCCTAAGCGACCTAGGGTGAATATACCTCTCGTTGAGCTTGCTTTCATTTCGAGTGAAAGTGTCGGTTGAAGAGATTCAAAGGTCGGTTTCACCAGAAGACGTCGGCAGATTCCTTTTGACCAGCTGCCGATTGGTTGACGCATGAATCTTCTAGTAAAGCCAATCGACAACTGGTCAAGAGGAATCCGCCGTCGTCTTCTGGTGGAACCGACCTTCGAATCTCTTCACCCAACACTTTAACTCGAAATGGAAGTAAGCTAAACAATTATGAAACAAGCGATTTCTCTAAAATCAACTTTTTTCGAATATACCTCTTATTCGATGAATTATGTTAATGATTACTTTGGTCCTATTGCGATATTTGAACAGATGGAAGAAGCAAAACCTTGGCACAGATGAATCGCGTTCTCATAATCATAGGTTGAGGACAATTCTATGCTGAAGTCAAATGCCGAAATTCCAAGAAAATCGTCCTTGCAATAAAAATACCATTTAGCCAAATTTCCAATTGAAGTGAAATGTCTAAATACTTGAAATCTGCATTGAATTATTGAGTCAAGCTAATGAGTCCTGATGATTTGTAAGCCTCAGTTCACGTCAGGATTACTCAAATTGGCCGAAACAGTATGAGAGAACTGTTAAACACTTTGATCTCTCTAGTTCAAGAAGAAATTATTCGCCTAGACACGAGTTAGTATGAAGAGATTCACAAGGATGTATGCTAGAGGGCGTCAGACATTTAAAAAAGAACCCTCATTACTAGGCTACTAGTGTGGCCAAAAGGTACTCGAATAGCCATTATTATACTTTTGGAAGACCACAATAGCCTAACATACCTGAGGATTCACATACAGTATTCCTGCACGCGAAACTGTTGCCGGCGTGGCCGTTTTCAGGTGGCTAATCTCGAACAGTAACCGCATGCTCTTCGTCAAGGGAATACGTTCATTACTGGCCAATGTGAGAATCTTGTTGTCATCCATCACAGTATTTAGCGACTCAATCCACATGGGATCAATGTCACCATCGAGCACAATCCATTTGGGAGCCTCGTTCGCCACGTTGGCCAGATCACGCATCACAACAGAAAAGAGACCGTCTTTCCATTCTCTGGTGGCCGGGTTGATGATGCCGAATAGTTCATCGTTCGTGACCGCCTTAGGATCGAGGTCGACAGCAACCGGCTTGCGCTTAAGATTGACATTTGTGCGGAAAAGACTCTTCCACACCTTTGATTTTCCGGTACCAGCATTGCCCAGGACAAATACCGAGTGTCGGACAGCGAACAGCTCTTGAAGCTGAACAGCTTTTAGAATGAAACTCTCCTCCGGCTGAAGGTGGAGATCAAGGGCTGCCTGTCGAATCTGCTTTTCGAACTCGAGATCACGTTTACGCGGCACATCTAAGGCAGGAAATAGGTCACCGATTAGGCCCATAAAGACAGGCATATCATCGGTGACGATCTTAGGAATGTTGAAGTCGCGCAGGGCGCGCATCAGGACTTGATCTTCCGGAAGGCCTGGGTCGCCGCGTTTCAGTGCACCGGCGACCACCAGCACCGATTTGATGGCACGCAGACCCCAGTCATAATGGTCCTGTTTGGAAAGTAACTCCTTGCAGAGTTGGTAGAGCGTGATGAACTTACGCGCCAATAGGCGAGCATCGAGAAAGCCTTCAGCGACCAGCATGATTTCGCAAATCAACTCAAAATCCGGTACCACCATTGCGCAGGGTCGGAACAAGGCCTTCAAATTTTCCGGCAGCTCTGTCCGACCTGCATAGCCGGGGTTCATGGTGATGAAGATGCCGACGGCCGGGTCGAGGCTGATTTCTTCTCCAAGAAAGTCAAATCGCTGCTTTTTGTAGCGAATAGCATCTTGGATGCACTTCACCTGAACAGCCACCACCGAAAGCACGTCAACTGAGATACGATTAAATTCATCAAAACAGCCCCAAGAGCCCGATTGTGCCAGACCCTTGTAAATGTTACCCACTGACTTGTAGTCCATCTGCTCGGAACAGTTAAACACGTAGACCATGACGCCGAGAGCTCGGCCCAAGTCTTTTGTCGTTTCAGTTTTACCCGTGCCAGCCGGACCTGCGGGGGCTCCACTCATCGTCAAATGAAGCGATTGCGTCAGCGTTATGTAGCAACGATCGGTCAGGGGAGTGATGACAAGACGAGGCGTGTTGCCCAGATACTCATGAGCATAACGAAATTGGGCATCACAAATGTTGGCAAAACAATCTTTCTCAGCCTCATCCCAACGATGTCGTAGTTGACAAAGCCACGTGAATGCGGCTGCATTCTCCACCTTCTGAGCGATCAATTTGGCCACAACATCACGATTGTGCACATCTATGGTGCAGATGGTCATCACCTTTTGACGGTCCTGACCGGACAGTTCGCCAATCAACAGATTGATGAGCAGATTGAGCTGACCGATCTGCTTTTTGTTGTACTCCTTTAAAGCGTTTTCATAGCCCTCCTCGAGGCGGGCAAAGTTCAGATTCACCTCCACTGTCCAGCCGATTTGGGAGCCGGCTAGAGCCACTTGGGCGGGAAAGTCGAAAAGCCATTGGTCTCGCGCTTTTTCCTCATAACTGCCCACCGCTTCGGCCAGATAATGTCTCATTGTAGCTCGCATTTCGTCCAACAGCCGATTGAGCCAGACCTCAACTTGACCGTCCAAGTCACACTCTCGTGACAACACCACAATCTCACCATCTTTTGCTCCCATACTGATGGCAACTTTATCGTTGATCTTACCATTGGCATGTGTCTGAAAATTAAGTATGGCTAGACTATCAAAAAGTTTGGTCAAATGGCGCATCACGATTGTAGGCATATTTCCGTTGGACAGAATGTCTAAAAGATCTGTGGAAGAGACAAAGTAGAATCGAGGGAAGGCTAGCCGCTTTGTCTCCAAGTACTCGGCTAGCGCTTTTTCGCAAAGAGTCAGATCTTTTTGGATCACCTCCAGTCGATCATAGAGATGAGGCCGGCTGGTCGCTTTGATCACATTTGTAGTCACTTCGATCTCGGACACCAGAGCTCGAAAGTCACGGTCGATGCCATCAAAACGTTCCGAGTCCTCTGGCAGCTGTTTTCGAATGTCCTCAGAACCAATAAAAATTGACTCCAAATGCGACCAAGCTCGTTGCACCTCGAACCAGATGCCCAAAACTTGATCGGCCGTAGTCAACAATCGCTGCCAGGTCGAAACCTCACCAAGAAAGTGGGCGATATACTTTGACGTCATCATGTTTTGCAGTTGAACTTGATTCTCTTCCAGAGTCTCGATCAACTCCTCACTTGCCTTCAACAACGTCATGCCTGTACGCGCATGTTTGTCGTGCTCAAAGGCCATTTGACTCCAAATGGCATCCAATTCATTGAGAACTTTTTCCATGCTCATCTCCTTGACAGACTTGTCGACTAGATTACGCACCTCTTCCTCATACAAATGCAAGTTTAATGATAAAAGGTCGGTAAGTGTGGTGTCCTCGTTCATCATGAAGCGTACTCCAGTGGCTGACATTAATTGAGCCCAGTGACGATCCCGAATTGCCGGATTCTGTAACTCACCCACGGCACGCAGAGAAGTGAGCATATTTTTTACAACATCTTCAACGCCGATATAAACATCCCAAGCACGCATTTCTTTGTCTAAACTGCGGATATCTTTGGCAAATCGTTTGCAATCTGAGTCCATCTGCTCAATGTTAATCTGGCGCCAAGGCGTCTTGGTCCAATCTCCCAAACTGGTGCGCACCAAGAACACATAGTCCCAAAGTGTCTTCAGCAGACGTAATTCCTTGCGGCATTGCTTCAGCTGTTTATATTCAGGTACATTCACCTCAAACAGGCCAGCAGACACTATCAGTTCCTGCATCTCCTTTTCCATTCCCGAAATGGTTTTGTGGTACTGAGCACAGAAGAGATAAAAACAAGCACTAAAAATAGCTTATATTCATAATTTATACCTCTCCTAAACATGGATAAATAATAAATAATTTTATTTTACATATTAATAGCAAGATAGTATGGCCTTTTGTTTGGTCGCAGCCTCCTTTAGCTGTATAGTGGTGGCTTGAGCGCGATTTCGCAACTTGGCCGGAGAGACATTGGGACCTTGTGGGACGCATCTAGTCTTGTGTCCTCTTCCACAGGATTTGGGATGATTTCCACCATTGGACAGTTGGAAATGTACCAGATCAAAGGTCCGATGCTGAAAATCATCATGAATATTATGGCAGATTACGCAGAACTAGCTACGCTCCACAAGGTCTCTCTGTTGATCCGATCAAATTGCGAAAAAGAGGCAAAATCAACACATTAACCCCTTTTGGTATGGTGGCACCGGGACTGACAACCTTTCTACCCACGATGAATTGGAATAAACGCATGCATTTGGATTAAAAGGCAAACATTACAAAGTGAATAAGACCCGTAGTCATCTTGGATAGCATAGGGTGATAAAGGATTGATAGTCAACTTTTCCCGAAAAGATATGTGTAGGCCTCAGGATCCATGGAATGTTACTTGACATTGCCTCCAGCTTCGACCTCATCCGGGTACCTTCAGCATTATTGACGTGTACATTTTCTAGTGGTAAGGGCCTTTAGGATGTTAGGGTCAAGTACCGTTGATGAGACCCAAGCAAATTTGTAATTGAAGTCCAGTCGAGCAATAATAGGAGTAAATTTCTGGAAGCAAGGCTGAATGAAAGTGAATGGCATCGTGAGGCATACTCATCTGATTGTAGGAAAATTTAGCTGTCAGTGCCCCCTCGCCTTAAGCAACCTATGCCAAACATAGCTCTTAATCAACATATGCTACAACAATGTACTTTAGGGAAATGAAATTTATAATGCAAAACAAAATTTTATATTCAGCCCCTGCAAAAATATAGGAAAATGACGCATTTTAGAGACAAAATCAACTATTTTAATTGCAGTGGACATGCCTAAAGTTAATATAAGGAAATAAATGCTTCAACATTAAGTGACTGCTCTGCTGAAAGTAAAATTGAATGGCAAGAGCACTTTTGCCAAACAATGGCATGAACGTTTGCGAATTTTCAGATACATGAGTCTATATGCTCTAGTACTTAATAATCAGGTGGATAAATCTTCAAAAATTTCGGTTTTTATATTAAACGCAAAATACAACCAATAAATGCGTTTAGGCAACCTATTGTGCATGTCTAACACAGGCTTAAATAATGTAAAAGACTTAATCAGTCTTCCTAGTGCATTTCATAGCACTCTTCAGACGGGCAATTGTGAAAAAGATGCAGCAGATAGTATTACGAGACGAATTATATATAAAAGTGTAATCGTTTATTCATTTGCTTAGATAGCATATGTTTTCCTACATTTATCTATTGGCCAAGAGGTTAATTTGAAGTGCATTAAATTTTTCCTTAACGACTGTACTATCCTCAAAATCACGATGGAATTTTACATTTCATTTTTCAGT